AGATGTAGGTAGTGAGATAATTGATATGTTTATTTTTGAAACTTCATAGAATATTTTATTTTATCTTATTTCTTGCAGTTATTGCAATCTGGCCCTGGCCTTGACAGACATAAGGAGTATGTGAGTGCAGATGTTGGTGTACGGTTGCTAGGAGGTGGTCTTGCAGGAATTACAGCTGCATCCATCACATATCCGTTAGACCTAGTGAGAACACGTCTTGCAGCTCAGGTGATCTCATCATTTCTATGGTATGTTAACGCTGTTTATTAGTTCCTAATTATTTGTATGTTCAAATCTTTTCTCCTGGAGGTTTAATTGCATGATACCTCTTGCTTGCATTTCCTTTATCATTTTCTTTTTATAATCCTGTTAAGAAATAATTGCTACAATGGGATTTATAATAAATCTGGTTTATGCGAAGATACCAATATATAATTTCTTGAGAGGCACAAATTATTAATTCATTTGTTTCCCGTAGAGGGTAGATCTTTATTGTTATTACCTTCTATATCTACTTGAAGTTATAGTTTTTACTTTGCATTTAGCATTGTAGTAGATCTAGGCTGAGCTTTTGCATCCAAATGTACTTTAGACTTAATTTGGGTTATTGGCTTCTGTCCACTACTTATAAAGTCATGTTATATTGTGTTTGTGTGTCTGATATTTTTTCATCTAATTTTTGCAGACGAATAACATATATTACAGAGGTATTTCGCATGCACTTTGTTCCATATGCAGAGATGAGGGTGTCAGAGGTCTATATAAAGGCCTTGGAGCAACACTTCTGGTAAGATTCACCAAATATTTCAGATGTTATCATGGTCATATCCTGTACGTGTCGTTGTGGGCATTGATAAATGGAATTGCAGGGTGTTGGACCCAGTATAGCAATTAGCTTCTCTGTTTATGAAATGCTAAGATCTGGTTGGCAGTTAGAAAGGTATGGCAACTTCGGTTTTATTGAAATTAATTGTGCTCCATATGGTGAGAGGTTACTCCTTTGCATGATACAGTTAACTAACATGTAAATGTTTTGACTCTTTGCATGGCAGGCCACATGATTCTGCTGTCCTGGTTAGCTTAACTTGTGGAAGTCTTTCTGGCATAGCATCATCAACTGGTATGTATTGAAATTGTGATAAATAATTTACATGGGTTGAAAACATGTGATGTGAATTAGTTAATTAAATAAGTTGAAGTCTCCTGTTGAGATTTTTCATGATTGAAATTTTTGCGTGGAAGACATTTCAGCAATGAGAAACCAGGACTGGAGCTGTTCGCAGCCCGCATGTTAATTTTCCTGCTCTGCATTTACCAAATTACATGTCGGAACATCCGAGCATTCCAATGGATTACCTGTTTTCATGCTTTTGAGTACTCTTAATTAAAGAAAAAAAAATCATATGTTTGGTGATCTTTTGTCCGTCCATCAGGCTGTCAAACTTTTGTTTTATTCTTAAGAAGTCTTTCAATTTAGTACCTGTTTCTTGCATTGGCATAAATTTTTAAGTACAGATTTTTTTAATCCAAAAGCAGTCGTTTGAGCACATTTTAGAATTTATATGCAACTTCTCTTTTCCATGTGCACAAATGAATTTGCCTTCGGGGGCCTATAGCCTGGCTCACGTCCGGCCAACCAGATGGCATCATTAATTGTATTGGGTTGGTTACGTCTGCATCTGAGGTTGGGTTGGCTCGAATTAGGCTATTTAGTTGACCCAGATTTCTGTTTGTGGGGTGCGTGTGATCCACTAGAAAGCTGTTGCCTGACAACCACACCTTGGAGTTTAATTGACTAGGGCTATCTCTAGAGAGAACATTAAACTCAGAACTAAAGCTATCTTATATGAGAACAATGAATTCAGAACGATCAACTATTACTAATTCAGATTGCACATCCATGGTTCATGGTGTAATCTATGATTAAGTTTTCTTGGCCCCACAGTTAAACAATTATATCCCACCAAATGAATGGTTACATCCTGTATGGTCAAGGATTATCACCTCAAATGTATCCCTTATGCTGGGCCACAGCTAAATGACTTCATCAATCAGGCACTACCTATTACCTATATACACGTCTAGATGATTATATAGGTATCTTTTTATACTTAACCGATCCGATATGTTTTATTATTAATGGGCTGCTGCTTATGCAAACTTCAAGCTATTATAATACTTCATACTGTAATACTGATGTCGATGATAGAAGATCATACCTATTGAATCAGAGTATGTTGGGTGTTCCTTTTTTTATTTAACTCTTCTCTGGCTGATTAGTATAATTGAGTATATACGCTCTTCTGCTTTGTCCATATTTTCCTTCATCTTGGCCTTCTTCTAATGTTGACCTCAAATTGCCAATTGGTCGCAAAACATTGCCAAAGCATTAATTATTTTTTCCCACATGGAGTCTGGAAATTTGCTGAACTGACTCTTTGTTTTGGGAAACTATGATCTTAGAAATTCACAAGTATTTCTCATCTGTTTCTAGTTGGACTAATTGTTACTTGTGCTTTTATTTGGGACTCACTCATCAATTCTCACCCATCTCATTTATATTCATTATCAGTGACATTCCCATTGGATCTTGTGAGGCGACGAATGCAGTTAGAAGGTGCTGCAGGAAAAGCTCGGGTCTACAATTCGGGCCTGTTTGGTACATTTGGCCACATAATCCGATATGAAGGCTTTCGTGGTTTATATAGAGGAATATTGCCCGAGTACTATAAAGTTGTCCCCAGCGTCGGTATTGTTTTCATGACATACGAGATGCTCAAATCTTGCTTATCGGGTTCATCAGCCAGTGACTAGCGTTAAAAAAATTTATGTCAGAGTGAACTTTTGAGATATAATTAGGACAGTTTTGCAGTGTTGCAGAGTAACTTTCTTATGGTGGCAAGTTTTGTGGCTGCTGCCGGTAGTATGCCCTCATTTCTTGTATAGTAGTTGGTAGGTATATCAGTCCCAAAAGTGCATCGTGATCGTGTAATTTGGTCTTTTCCCCCCCGGGTGATTGCCATACTCATGTACGTTACATTTTATTGATGTCTTTCATAAAGGACTGAAAGTGTTTTTTTTTTCCTTTAAGGTAAATGAATATGGTTTTGTTTCCTTTGTTCTTTCACCTTTGTTTGGTGTAGCTCCCATTTGAGAAAGACCAAATACATGTAATCTCCTTGAAGTCCTCTGCACCTTCAGTCCGAGTATTGTGCGAATGACTTTTTTGTACCTTATAGTCTTGCTTGCGATTTTGTTGAAATTTTTCAGGCTTGGTGCTTCGTATTTGTTGCTATCATTCAAAGCTCCTCCCCAAAATTGCTATCGCACCGCCGAATGATAATAGCTAAGTACAAAGAGAAGAGGAATTACCCAAGTTTATAGTGTTCTTGCTGGCTTGCCTGCCTGCTGCTGCTCGTTTGAAACTTATTCAAAGGATTTGCTAAGAATGAGTTTGGAAAGGGAGGACAAACTTGACGGAGAATAGTAGACCCTGGATAAGTTTTCTAAGGACCAATTTCGATGGAAACAATTCAAATTTTTTTTTATTCTGCTCTCCAGCTCTATAATATTCCTCTTTCATAGATTTCGCTATTCAGGTTAATACTTAATAGTTAACTCAGTGGCTTTCTGTATTCATCGAGGGTTAGAATTGTAAAACGTGTTTAGTTGAGAGGGAGTTGCCACCGATTTCGTTCTGTAGTCGAAACGATCCGTCTCAAATACTATTCTTTAATCGTCATTTTCCCACCGAAAAGGTTAAAAAGAAAAGAAAAGAAGAAGAAAAATCCTCTGAGCTTTGAATTGAAACAGATAATACCTTTTTACCCATAATTAAAAATGAAAAATAAAACCCAATAAAACACAAAAAAAATATCCCATAAGCATTGGCACCTCCGTCCCCTTAAGATATTATTAAAGATAATAACAAAATACCAAGAAGGAGCCAAAATATATAAAAAGCTTTGTTACAAGAACCCAAAATATAGGATCAATAGCACGACATGTGAGGTGTCCCGCTTCTATTGCATAATGAGGTGACCATAATTAATGATGATCACCTCATAATACAATAGGAGGAGAACACCTTACTAATCCCCCTGTTGGTCCTATATTTTAGATCATTAATAATGATCATATCATTATACAATAGGAGGGGACATCTCACATGTCCTTCTATTAGTCCCATATTTCGGGTTCATATAGCAGAGCTCATATATAAATAACCAGCAGAAAACTAATCTAGGGGAATGAGGGTGAAAGGAAGTTAGGGGAACCATTCACCTCCATTCACCTTGTTTGGGAACACTTAGGGCCTGTTTGGATTTGTAGAGGGTGAAGGAAAGTTAAGGGAAACTGGGAGAAGGGAAGGGAAAGGAAGGGAAGGGAGTTCCCTTCCCCTTGGTTACAGCCTAATTTGGGGTAACAAATTTTATACTATTAGGTACCGTTTGGCAAAGGGTTAAGTGAGGGGTTAATGAGACTTAACCCCTTCTTAACCTGCCAAACCGTTTGGCAAAGGGTTAAGTGAGGGGTTAATGAGACTTAACCCCTTCTTAACCTGCCAAACACAACAAATTTATATAAGGGTTAAAGTGAGTTAACCCTCCATAATTTGCCAAACATAAAAAATATAGAAGGGTTAAGTTAACCCCTCTAGAGGGGTTAAAATGAGTTAACCCCTCAAAATGAGGGGTTTACTAATACTCCTATTTAGATGGAATAAGAGTTAACCCTTCTAATTATAAAGAAAATAGTCAAAATCATTGTTATTCCCAAATACTAAAACTGATCATAAGGGCTAAAATAAAACTTATTTAACGGGTTAATAATTTAGTTCTTCGGATTATCAAATAGGCTAAGTACATTAATCCTTTTCTTTAACCCCTCTTCATTAACTCTTTGTCAAACGGGGCCTTAGGGGGTGTGAACCAAAGGGAACTAGGGTGAATTAACTTCACGTCTTTAAGTGTTCCCAAACAAGACGAATGGAGGTGAATGGTTCCCTAACTTCCCTTCACCCTCATTCCCCTCAATCCAAACAAGCCCTTAGGGTTTTGTTTCTGATCCCTTCACCGATTGTTATGGCGGCGACGCAAGGGCAATCGATCGGTCCTGCGCTTCTCGACGACATCATCAGCAGGTTGCTGGAGGTTCGATCGGCGAGGCCCGGGAAGCAAGTCCAGCTATCGGAGGCCGAGATCCGTCAGCTTTGCGTCGCATCGAGGGAGATCTTCCTCCAGCAGCCCAATCTCGTTGAGCTCGTGGCACCGATCAAGATCTGCGGTTAGATTCCCCTCCCTCTTTGTACAGTTTTGGACTCTTGATGATCAGTGGATTCTTGTGTTGTGCCTTGGAATTTATCGTTTCAAATTTAAAATTTATGTCTTTTTTTTGTGTGCGCGCGTTTATGTGAGTATTTAGACTGAATGTTAACTTTCTCAATTTGATTAGCTTACTCTTTGCAAAAAAAAAGTGATCTTGTGAACGTTAACTTTCACGATCATTCATACACCCAACAAAACATCGAATCTGATTTTTTTAAAACCAAAATCTGCTTTAATCTGCTAAGAAGCATGGTCAACTGCTATAGTTTGATCTTTGTTAAACTGTTACATTATTAATTAAAATGCTATAATAAAAAGATCAAATGTTGAATCTAGTTCCAAAGATAAGTTATGTTTGGTTGTCTTGGGTGTGTCACTGATTTTAGGAGTGGGGGAGTTTAAAGATAAATCAGGGCAGTAGAATGGGTTTAGGACATCATCTCCATTTTAGTTTTGAAGGAAACAAAGCTCTAGTATTTATCTTTCATGCTTGTTGGTCGCATGTTCACAGAAAATAATGGAAATAGGTTTGGAAAATATTAAAAGGCACGCCAACTCATTAGCTACATCCAGGGGCAAAGCTAGGATACCCAATCAGTTAGGGAACAGTTAACAACAATCAAAAGTTATTGATGTAGTAATATTAATAATGAAGAGTGTTACAAATTTTCACTAATAACAGAAACAAATCATGAAAACTGAGACAACAGTGAAACTTAAGTTAAAATAACATTTTCCCATATGAAAAAAACTTATTTTTTAATGATGTTTGTTTCTTTCTATAGTAAAAGGTAGTTGAATAATAAATGGCATTTAAAAGGGCATGCATTGTATTTGCGATATAGTGATGATATTTTTTATCTTACAATGGGAATAAAAAATTAAAAAAAACTTAAATCCACACATGCCTACATGTCCCTGATATTTACTTAATATCTCTGATATATCTCCGCCATCCGCCATCAAGTATGGAATTTTTTTGTCCAATATGTCCTCGATATGTGATACACTGCATACACTAAACTGCAGCAATGAACCTTCATTTAAGACCGGTAATGTTGTATATATATCTTCTTGTGCAAAGTTCACTGATTGATGGTTGAATCTGTTCAAAGTATGAGACTAACTTTCAGCAAAAATTTCAGAGAACATTGACACGCACTAGCATTTTGGATATTTTCATCTAAAAAGTATAATATATGCTGCACCTCTATTAATGGTGTATAAACAGTTGAGGCATAATTTTAGTTGTTTATCTCTGTTTCCTGATTGCGAGACAAGAAATATATGATGATCAACAAATAATACAACCTATTGACTGTATTCTCTCATACTTAGGTACTTCTATTAGGCAGTCGTACCTGTACCCGACACCTACATGTACTCATACCCATATCGAAACTTCTTGGACACATCTTGAATATATGCATATGTTGATTCAAGCGTATTCTCAATTATATAATGCATGTTTTCAATTAAAGCACTCCTTGTACACTTCTGCATATCCTGCACTTCACATTTATTTCTTGTACATTGATCTTATGTAAATGAAAAAACAATATTGATCTTATGTAAATTATTAATTTAATACATTTAGATACACATAACATGCATATATATAGAAGTGTCCTGGTACTGATATTTTACAAATTTTGTGTCCCATACCTATAACCATACAGGTACCCCTACTCATGCAACTTAATCTCATATGAATGAAGACTCACAAATTAACTTTAGGCTTATTCACAGATGATTTTTTCTTCTACTATTATATTCATGCTAGACACTAGTCATTGCTGTCAAATGGATTGTCTGACTTACTTTGTTGAAATGTATGTTAATATGAGCTACTACGTGTAGTATTCTTATTATGATATGTAACTTTCTTTATTAAATCTTGATTTAAATATCTATGTCGTGCCTTAACAATCGTAAGTTTTGTTGCTATTGTTCTTCAGTTTCTCTCATTTTTTTGTAAATGCATTTTCAGGTGACATCCATGGCCAGTACAGTGATCTCTTGAGGTTATTTGAATATGGAGGTTTCCCTCCTGATGCGAATTATTTATTTTTAGGTGATTATGTGGACCGCGGAAAACAGAGCTTGGAAACAATATGTCTTCTTCTTGCTTATAAGATCAAGTACCCTGAGAACTTCTTTCTTCTGAGAGGAAATCATGAATGTGCTTCTATAAACAGGATATATGGATTTTATGATGAATGTAAACGTCGGTTTAATGTGAGACTATGGAAGGTTTTCACTGATTGCTTTAACTGTTTACCTGTGGCTGCTCTTATAGATGACAAAATATTATGCATGCATGGTGGCCTTTCCCCAGATCTGTCAAACCTGGACCAAATTAGAAGCTTAACTCGTCCTACTGATGTTCCTGACACAGGTTTACTCTGTGATCTACTTTGGTCCGATCCTGGAAGAGAAGTTCAAGGCTGGGGAATGAATGATAGAGGTGTTTCCTACACTTTTGGTTCTGACAAGGTCTCTGAGTTCTTATCAAAACATGACCTGGATCTTGTCTGCCGCGCGCATCAGGTCTAAAATCATTCTTCTTTACTTCTAACTTACTGAGTAACTTTGGGTCTTGGCTAAATTTTTTCTTTTTTGGAAAATTGCAGGTTGTGGAGGATGGCTATGAGTTCTTTGCTGACAGACAACTTGTCACTATTTTCTCAGCGCCAAACTATTGTGGTGAATTTGATAATGCTGGTGCTATGATGAGTGTTGATGAAACCTTGATGTGCTCTTTTCAAATTCTGAAGCCTGCAGAAAAGAAGCCAAATTTTATGATGTCGACAAGAATATGATCATGACAAAACCCCGTCTACTTTACTCTGCCCAAGGTTAGTTGATCTGTCTATACCTTTATTTTGCTTTCTTAAAATGTTTATGTTCTATCAATTGGATGCAAACACAATAGGCACTTAATGGTGTTTTCATGTCCATTTTCATTCTACACCTTCCCATTCTTTTATGTATTGGGAACTACAAGAGGTATTACATCCCCATAGTTTGAGATAAGATTTTGTTTGTTATTGTTGTTGAAAAGTGTATGGATATCTCACTGTTTGGAAGGGCCATAATCTATGCAAAGTTTGTTTTGTGCTTTATTTTTTTTAGCAAGGATTCAGTTTGATGCCCTCTGATCTGTCTCTAATTAACTGTCTCATAACAGATGTCCATTAATCCTAAATCATATTTGCTGTACTGACTTGAATGATTAGCAATGTCAAGTATTGGTGACTTTCGGAAAGACGGTATGACAAATTGATGATTTTGTCAAGTGCTTTTTGACATTCTATTGACATTCAAGTTTTGAAATTTTATTCAATCGGTTCAATAATTCATGTTTATTAACATAATATCTTAAATACATCATACAAAGAGTGTAGAAAATCTCATTTCTTAAACATTACATTCAATGTCGTGTTATGTGTAAATTAAAATCCAGATGCTTTCTAGCTTGCATTTGAACACTCGTGTCAGTTTGCAACCTCGTAGCATTCACTTCTTGCTGATTACGTTATGATGTCATTTATATTCTCGTATGTGTTAGTCAAATTAGTTGTGTTCTTCACTACCATTTTGATAATGATCTTTTGTAGTGTGGTGGTGGTTGGTTGTATCCTGTGATTGGCGTGCTTTTCGATGCGGCTTACTGATCTCTCCTTAGTAATGAAAATAACATTATGTAAAATATCTTAAATTGTTGCTCAGCGTGCAGATTATTCTCTAACCATACACGCCAATGGAAAAAAATGTATCACTATAGTTTCTTCAGCTTAGTGGGTAGTCTGGAAGTAAGAAACAGAATAGTCTAACTTATAGGATAGGAACATTTGAATTGTTCTTAAACTGCATTACATGGTTTACATCTTGTATGTTGGTCGTATGAGGAAAGTAGTTAACCAGGATAATTTTTTGGAGCATTTCCTTTTGTGTCTAGTCTCATCTATTCTAGCCCCTTCACATGGCAATTACTAATTTCACCAAGCCTCTAATGTAATTGAAGTGCATTCATCATAGTTTATGAATCTCCAGCTGTGAGTCCTATGTTCAAGCATTTAGTGTCTGTCTTGATGTGCACAAGTATAATATCGTACTGACAACGGTGGTTTGTACCTTGAGTTATCTATTACTTTTGACTTATAGTCTTTTTTAGAGAACTTATCTTGTTTTTCCTTATTACTTTGACTTATGGTCTCTTAGAGAACTTAATCTTGTTTTTCGTTATTATATTTTCTCTGGTTCCTCTGTCATCGTGTTTTTTTTTCTTACAACCTATCAATTTACTTTTTCATTACCGGTTAAACCTCTCCAGCTTGTTGCAGTGATATTTTGCTAGACGCATGGAAATGCAAGCTCGAAATGATTATGGAGCTGCAGATCTGCTCTCCTGTCGACAGGAATGAATTTTGTACCGTCGTCATCGGGCACAGCCTAAATTATCTCTTCAGTATGCTCTCAGTCGCTAAGCCTACCTCCTTCTGGAAGCAATTCATCATGGCAAATGCACATCATTTTCCCTTATATGTGTGTAGAACTATGATGCAGGTGTACATACAATGATTCTGTCCAAGGTGGATAAATAACCCAGCTGTACTTATAAATGCTTCATCACATTCAAGGTGTTTTCCCCCCCAGTCTACTAGATCATCATTTTACTTCTTTGAGTGTTTGTGTTAGTGCTGCAGAATGATGACAAATTGCACGTCGCGTCCATCAGAGGTAATATGCTTGAAAAGTCCAATATAAAACTGGAGACATCATCTTTATTTCATATGGATTTTATGAAGCGAATGCTAGTCTTTTGGTGTCTCTGGACTCTGGAGCTCATTAATCTGATGTGCCTTGAAGTGTTTTTTTTTAAAAAAAAATTCTTCCAATTGACGGAAGTATGATACACAATTTGTTTTCAAGAATTCTTTTTGTTTTCTTTCTGTTCTTTAACCAAAGTGAGCGTAGAAATCCGAGGATCGACTATATTTGTTATGGGCACATTGTTTACTGTGGAATTTGATAATTTTTGTCTTTGGGGATAATATTTCATTGTCATTTCTGGATAGTCTTTTAGTAACATGGTCAAATAAGATGAAACTCAGCACTTCATTTTGATTATGTGTTTATCCTTTTGGATCAAGTTGGAGTTAAAGTTTAGGCAAAACTTCAATATAGGTTCCTAATATATTAGCTAAATTTCATCTTATTTGTAGATATAAAGACTTACTTTTTTTTGTAGAAGAACAAGAAAAATGACAGATGAAGAAATAGATAATAGCAAGACCAATTTAAGCTACTTTACTTTTTCAAAATAACCCTCCCTCGAGATACAAAATAAATTGACCTATTGAATAGTAATTGGCTGCAAAATTTTGTCATTGACAAAACTTTGGAAAGAGATATTTAGCTAATTTAGTAATATATTAAATTTTATATTCTTAAACTAGGAAATTTAGAGTTGGCCTTATATTCTTTAGAATAAGAATGTATGAGCATCAGATGATAATATTTTTTGTAACATATATTTTTATATGGTTTATGATTTTTGATTTTAATTGTACAATAATCAAATCAAATATATTAAAACTTAGAGTGATATAAATTTAAAATACAATGATACAAAAAATTAGTTGTCGTGCTTTGCACGGGGTACATACTAGTTATTATGAGTGGAGCACCTCCTACTTTAAAACTAGTGAGCGAGGCGTCGCTTCTTGACCGTTCATCGTTAAGCGTTCTTCTAATATTACAAATAATTAAAAAAAGACGAGACAAGTGGGCCGGGACGAAAACGAGTTAGCTGGGAAGAGACAAAACCACCCGTGACCAACGAGTGGGCCAGCCCACTGCCGTTTGTCATATTAGAAGAACGCTTATCGGTGAAGAGCGATGCCTCGCTCACTAGTTTTTAAGTGTACAATGATCAAATACACAACACCGCAAAACTCGAGCGTGTGATTTCTATTGACAATCTCGCTCAAGCATAATGAAAAAAAATTTAAACTAAGGTTTTCGTTTTTAGATATCAGTCCCTTACATATTCAATAATTGCATTGAAGCCCCTCAAATCTTGAAAAGTGCACGTTACGATGAGTTCGACAAGTTTAATAATAGACAGAAAGCTATAAAATTAGCATAGGAACGTTATATGGGAACTTTCAGATAGAAATTTCACATATGTAAAATTGAGGGTATTAACATGCCGATTATGTGATCATGTACGTATATGTGCGTATGTTTGAGGGTATTTTGGGTAGAAATATTTTAACATGTGAAATCCAGGAGAGTGAAACTTATGAGGTATAGTATCTTAGTGCTCAATATTCTATTCAGCCACGCGAAGCTCACGTTGCTAATAAAAAAACAAATTATCCTCCACCTCCGTGTGTATATATGTGCCACTACTAACTCTAACATATTGAAATCATATTTCAAAAAAAAAAAAAAAAACATGGAGACCAGCTTGGTTGCGTTGACCTTGGCTCTCGTGTGCCTCGCTGGTTTCGGCCCAATTAATGTCGTCGCCGACTACGCCATTTACACCGGCCAAACTTTCATGCCGGGCCAAAACTTCAGCTACGACATGACGGTCCACGGCGTCCCTTACGGGCCCTACGAGCTCACCTTCCAAAATGATTGCAACCTCGTCATCTACCAGCACGGCCAGAAGAGGTGGGAGAGCAACACCACCCAGACAAAGTACCGAGACTGCTACCTCACCGTGCAGCAGGACGGAGAAGTAAATATTTTAAATTTTTTTTTCTTCTGCATGAAATAATAATGAATTACCAGCATATATAAATATTTTCTTTCCTTTTATATATATATATTAATCAATCTATATATGTTTGTGATTATAACTAACTTTTTTTCTATTTTGGGTAGAAATGGAGACGTCCGAGCTAATTAATTAAGAGGAGGGCAATTAATTGGAATGGAATTTTATGAATCCGACGTGATTTTAGCATGATTTAATTAGCGTATGTATGCACGTACGGATCTAATATGTATCTAGATCTATGCTAGAACCTCCAAGATGAAAGGCCTTTTCACCCTAGCTAGTGAGTTTCGAGTCAGCCGTATATAATTAACCCCTGACGAACTCAAGAGGATCAAATAAACGGTTAGTTTTATATCTACCCCTGAACTGCAGTGGCGTAGCCAGGATTATTTTTTGCCCTGGGCGAAAAATAAATGTGGTCTACGAGTATGTCATGAGGGAGAGGAGGGAGGCGCGGGAGAGGAGGAGGAGGGCCGGAGATTGTTGAGATGGAGGTCCTGGAAGAGGAGGTTGGATCTGTATGTAGGACAATTTGCACAAAACCACAATAAGCTTTGAAAAATTAGGGAAACCACCTAACCGCTATATAGCTGGAAATTAAGTTTTGAGTCAACCGTATAATAATTAGATCCTGATCACAAAGTAATTAGTTTATGACGCTCTCACTTAAACCTGCTCAATTTCACATTTCTTATTTTCTACACATGCTTCGAATATATATATATTAGACACCGAATAAAAATAAATATTTATTTACTAGCTTATTATCCATCGATCTTGAGGGGAAATAAATAAATTTTTTTTAAAAAAAAAACAGGTCGTCCTCCGCACCAACTACTACTACACACTGTGGAGTAGCGGCGTCAAGTCAACTCTTGGTGACTACATCTTCTTCCTAACCTACGCCGGTGGCCTCAGCGTTTATGGGCCCCAGGTGTGGATAAGCGACAACCCAGTAACCATGAGCAGTGTAGCTCCGATGACCACCACCACCGACATCGTTTTCTACACCGGACAGGTAACTAACTAACTAATTTTTAGATGCCTTGTACATATATACGCCTGAATATTTTATATACGTACATATATATATATTTCGATGATCGATACAGGTAACAATGGCGACCTACGGAATCGTGATTCAGTTCAAGAACTTCCGGCTGGTCCTCCAGGAGAAGGACTGCAACCTGGTGGTGGAGGACATGTACGATGACTTCAAAATCCTATGGCAGACCGGGGTATTCGCCGACACGGGCGACTGTTATCTGACGATGAGCCTCACGGGAGAGCTCATGGTCAAGTACAACAGACGGGACATACTGTGGAGGTCGGGGGTGAGCTCCGACAGGGCGGGGAAGTTCCTGCTGGCTCTTCGGTACGACGGTAGGATCGCCGTCTACGGGCCCGAGGTGTGGGGGATCTTGGACCCGTACGGTGCGCAGACGGCGGTGGGGAGCTCTGCGGAGGGTGCCAGGGTTATTATGGCGCTTGATAGTTGATCGATCGATGGTGTATCGGGTAGTGATAATTAATATTTACGTACGTACGTGCCGCTAGCTAGATGCTTGCGAGGGAATAAGGAGCGAGGAGTTTTATCTTCAAACTCTTGGATTGATGTCATTATTAACTTATATAATTAATGGCCGTCTACTAGTAAGTCTTCGTGCAATAAAATGAGGCTAGCTCGTCTCCTAGAAATTATATAATCTTGTTAACTGGCATGTCCCTCTCATTATCAAATTAACACGCATATACGTACGTACGTACATACGCCTAAAATATATCCATGTTGTAGAGGGCTCGTACAACATTTTTGTTTGAGATATAAGTTGAATTAATCTACTTCATTTCAATCGAGTAATTTCTAGAGCTCTTAACTTAATTTAAGAAAAACAATTAAGAAAGATTGATCCTTTAGCCCTGCAGGGATTAATTTGGATTCTCCATTAATTTCTGCACTAATTGTGAGTAGTACAAGTCGATCACATCAGAAATTTCCACAAGCGAATATGTTGTCCTCAGCCTTCCATGAGTATTTTAGACATTTTTTTAATCTGTGCATGTTGCACGTTCTAAGGTCATTTGATCGACGTCTTTTTTCAAATTAGTTTTATTGTTGATCATTTGGAGTGATCGTAACTTTTTCCTTTTTTGAAAATAGAAATAGAGAAGAGCGAGTGTGATTGAATTCTCTGAATCTGACGTGATCTCAGCATTATATTTCGATTGAAAATGTCCATCCACGGATTGCATAGTGATCTAAACTGTAGACCTAAAACCTCCAAGATGGAAGGTCCTTTTAATCCAGTGAGTTTTGTCTCAACCAGGTGAATCCTGACAAGCTTATAGAGTCCAATGAATGCTAGTTTTATTAGGACAGATTATTTCAGAAAATCCCCTGAACTGTGGTGAAATTTGCACAAGACCACCATACATAAACTTTTAAAAGTTAGAGAAAACCACTTAACGGAACTTGGGTGTCTCACAAAACGCCCTAAACTTTAAACTTTTCTCACATGACCCCTCTACTTGTATTTTGCAAATATCTTAAATGTCCTTGATAGAAAAACTTTAAAATTTTGTCATTTGTTATTTACGGTCAGCATGCGTAAACGTACCCTCTGCTAACATTTGGGTCATTTCTCTTGATAAAATTTTCTTTATTTGCAAATTACACCTCTCCTAATATTTGGGCATCTTCTCACGATAAAATTTTTCTTATTTGCAAGTTACATATAGGGGGGTCTTCTGAGAAAAATTTCAAAGTGTAAGAAGCCACACCCCAAATTAAGTTTGGGGGGTTATGTGAGATGAACATGGTTCAAGGAGTTTGAGATCATCTCTGCAAGCTTTGTAATCTTTTTTAATATTCAAAGAAAATTTTTTGTGTGGCTCCTGAGGACGTAGGCAAGTTGCCGAACCTCGTTAAAATTTTGGTGTTCTCTCTTTTATTTTTTCCTTGCAAAGTATTCTTTTATTTGCTGTGATTTCTTCTTGCCTTCTTTCAATACAAGATCCGGAGGGCATGTTCTGCTAGAGGGTTTACTTGACAGCTTGTTGATAGGACAAATCCCCAATAATTGGTATCAGAGCTTCGTTCGGATTAAATCTATGTGATAGCTATGGCAGAAGAAGGCAAATCAAAGATTGAGAAGTTTGACGGATCAAACTTCGCATACTGGAAGTCACATATGGAGGACTATTTGTACCAGGAGGATCTTTACCGTCCGTTGATGGGTAAAGCGAAGGGAAAGAAGAAAGATGAGACAAACGAAGATCAGGAAATATTAGATCGAAAGGCTCTAGGGTAGATCCGATTGTCGCTCGCAAAATCAGTCACACACAATATATTAAATGAGAAGACAACACAAGAAGCACTCGTAAAAATGTACGAGCAACTGCCAGCTACAAACAAGGTGCATCTTGTCAAAATACTGTTTAACCTCAAGATGGCAGAAGGATGCTCCTTCATGATGCATATCAATGAGTTCAACACGATAGTTGATCAACTTATCTCCGTCGACATCAAGTTTGATGACGAAGTGCAGGCTCTACTGATACTATCGTAGTTATCGGATAGTTGGGCAGGTTACGTGACCGCAATTAGCAACTCAGCAGGGAAGGAGAAGTTAAAGCTGAACAAGGTTGTTAGTATGATTCTATCCAGGAGGTTAGAAGAAAATCGCACGAATCAGAAGGTTCAGGTTCAGCCCTAAGTTTCGAACAAAGAGGCTGAGGCCGTAATAAGGGTAACCAGAATAGTAATCGATCAAAGTCGAAGAAGAAAATGTCGAACTCGAAGATGAGGCCTATCAGAGGGAAGTGTTGGAACTGCGGCCAGGAGGGCCATATGTCTTCAGTCTGTAAATTAAGCACCAAAGAAGGATATGAATGAGCATGATGCTCATATCGTGCAAGATGCCTTGATCCTTGCTATAGACAACGATTCTGATTCATGGGTTATTGATTCGAGAGCCTCATTCCACGCCACTGCTAATAGGAAGGTTCTTCAGAACTATGTAGCAGGGGACTTTGGGAAAATGTACTTGGAAGATAACGATCCTTGTAGTATTGTGGGAAGAGGTGACATGCAAATCTATGATGAAAGGCTCTAAGTGGAATTTGAAGAACGTGTCAGACATGTATCGAAGCTGGAGAAGAATCTTGTTTCGGTTGGCCAGTTTGGAGCACAAGGCTATATATATATATGTTACGATATTTACCGGGGATTCGTGGTAAAAAAAGGCTGATCCTTTCTTCTACAGATTTGATTCAAGATCACTTGTTAATATTCCATCTGTCGTGTTTCATTCTAAATCTAATAGCTCGGTTCTATCGTACACTAATCACTCTTTTTTACTTTTTATGCACAATATAACGAATCGCGATCACAGGCTAAATAATAAGGATATTGATCTATTGCCAGATGCCTACTTTCAGATCACATACTCTCTCAATCAAAAAAAAAAAAAAACGAAAAAAAAGGGAAAAATGCTTCCAGCCCCCAAAACTAATGAAAACAAGCTTCCCCCTCCCAAGACTTTTTCAACGTGTGTTTTACCCCCAAAAGTAAACTCTGTGTTCTCTGAGCCCCCAAAACACAAAACCCAAGAAATTAAGATACGTGAAGACCATAATACCCTCCATTGTCACATCCTCCTTCCTCTCCAAACCTAACCACCGCAACCTCCTCTCTTTCTCCTCCTTCCATGGCCTCAAGCTCATCTCCGCCTTCAAAACCCAATCTTTCTCCTCCCTATCATTGTCATCCTCCGCCCCCAAATCTCCACATCCTACGACCTCTCCTCCATCTGCTTCCGCCCCATCAAAGAATCCATCGTCTCCCGCGAGATGACCCGCCGCTACATGTCCGACATAATCACCTACGCTAACACCGTCGGCGGCGGCGGCGGTGGCGGTGGCGGCGAATCCGTCGGCCTCTCCTGCGCCTACGAGCTCTCCAAGAACCCCGACATCAACGTCGCCATCATCGAGCAGTCCGTCTCCCCGGCATTGACGATCTGATTTCTTCCTCCATCTAGAGAGCGTCGAGTTTGTACAGAAAGTGAAGCGTATCGCTGACAAATACTGGGATCTCTACTCTCAGGAACGCGATCTCCCTGGACATTTACTTAGCTATCCCATTGGAGTAAGCAGTGAAGGAGTTGTTACAGAGCTCCCAAGGACGGAGTTTTTCCCCGATACAAAGGCTCGTGTTATTTGAACCAAGTCTGATTACATGCCCCCCATCCTCACCACTTAGGTAGCATTTGTCTTGTTTCTTTGCTTCAGGTTGTTTTTACTAAATAATAGTGTTATTGTATGTGGGAATAAAAAAAGAGTATCTTTGATTGTGGGTTGTAGTTTGTTGTTGGTGTTCTTTGATGGATGCGAATTAATTTATGCGTGTGTGAGGTTTTAGTATTGAGATATGTTTTCCTTTATGGCATAAATAGAATCTATGTTAAGCCTGAAGTTTGATTATTTGTCTCCTATTGTGTTTTGTTAAGGTTTGTCGTCGGTTGTTAAGATTAGTGGTCGGTTGTTAAGGTTACGGATTTGTTGTTAAGGTTACGTGTTTGTTGTTAAGGTTACACGTTGGGATTTATATGTATATATATTTTGGTTGTTAAGATTACACTTTTGTTGTTAAGGTTACGCGTTTGTTGTCAAGGTTACGGGTTTGTTGTCAAGGTTAATTTCACAACTAATTAGAATATTCGTTGTTAAGGATAATGATTGGTTGTTAATGTTACGCATTTGTTGTCAATGTTACGGGCTTGTTGTCAAGGTTAATTTCACAACTAATTAGAATATTCGTTGTTAAGGATAAGGGTTGGTTGTTAAGGTTACGCGTTTGTTGTCAAGGTTACGGGTTTGTTGTCAAGGTTAATTTCACAACTAATTAGAATATTTGTTGTTAAGGATAAGGGTTGGTTGTTAAGGTTACGCGTTTGTTGTCAATGTTACGGGTTTGTTGTCAAGGTTAATTTCACAACTAATTAGAATATTCGTTGTTAAGAATAATGGTTGGTTGTTAAGGTTATGCGTTTGTTGTCAAGGTTACGGGTTTGTTGTTAAGGTTAATTTTACAACTAATTAGAATATTCGTTGTTAAGGTTACGCGTTTGTTGTCAAGGTTACGGGTTTGTTGTCAAGGTTACGCGTTTGTTGTTAATGTTACATGTTTATTGTGAAATTAACCTTGACAATCAACCCGTAACCTTGACAACCAAACCCGTAACATTAACAACAAACCCGTAATCTAAACAACAAACACGTAACCTTGGCAACAAGGCTCTTAGGCTCTTAGCAATAAGGTTACCCGTAACCCGGAATAAGGTTTGTAGAATATCGTAGCCATCATCAGTTCCATGCAAAAATTTCTTAACAATCAACCCGTAACCATAACAAGCAACCCGTAACCTTAACAACCAACACGTAACCTTAACAAGCAACACGTAACCTTAACAAGCGACGCGTAACCTTCACAACCAACGCGTAAATCACTTGGCTTTTGAAAATCTCATTAAAAGTGAAATATTATTATAATTTCCCTAAAAATTAAAAGTGAAATATTCATTTTCTAAAAATATATTGTTATATATGTTTCCGAATCTTACAAAAAATCAGTAAGAAAAAAGAAAATTACCAACAATTAACCCTTCAAAAAACAAAAAAAACAAGATTAAAATCACTAA